TCCCTTTCTAGTCTTATCAACAAATAGAATATCATCATCAAAAAGCATACACCAGGGTACAACCTCTTGCAAATGTCTAGTGAGAACATCCATGAATAAAGCAAAAAAGTTAAGGGTTAAGGCTGATCCTTGATGTAATCCAACTAAAATAGGAAAATACTTGGCCAAACCACCATGTGTTTGTACACAAGTAATAGCTTCTGCATACATATCTTTAATGACTTGAATATAAACGTTATTAACCCCTTTCTTATATAGAACACTCCATAGCACTTCTCTTCGAACTTTATCATATGCTTTCTCTAAATCAATAAAAATCATATATAGATCCTCCTTATTCCCCTATACTTCTCCGTCAAACCACTCAATAAATGTATAGCTTCCATAGTAGACCTATCTGGCATGAATCCAAATTGATTAGAAACATTAGTGTTACGTCGCAACCTATGCTCCATAACTCTCTCCCATAGTTTTAAAGTATGACACATTAACTTAATTCATCTATAATTCGCACAATCTTACGTTACAATCTTGTGCATCTAACATCTTTTTAGTCTTCAAAATAATATTAAAAAGTTTAATAAGCAAAGAAATTCCCTCATCTCCTAAATATTTTCACACCTCTATTGGAATATCATCAGGTCCAACAGCTTTTCCGCACTTCATTTTCCTTAAAGCCTCATTAACTTCGATTTTACTAATACGCCGATAACAATAAAAATCTTTATTTCTATTTAAGGTGCTAACTAAAGTTAATCACATTCTCATAATCTTCATTGAAAAGTTTAATAAAAATATCTCATCCACCTTTGTTGAATCTCTTCTTCTAATAAAAGATCTTCATCCTTAATACACTTCACTTGAAATAAATCCTTGCAACTCCAGTCTCTTTGTTTAGCTAACTTATACATATAAATCTCACCCTCAGTATATAATCTATTATATAAATTTTTAAAAGCTAAAATCTTTGCATTGCAAATTGCTTTCTTAGTCTACTTACAGAGTTTTTATATATTTCTCAATTATTAGAGTTTTACAGCAAATCCAATTTTTATAACAAATACTCTTATTTTTTATCTTTTCTTGCACATTTTGATTCTACCGCTAAACATTTTTATTATTAGTAGCTTTTTCCTTTGATACTCCAAGTACATTTTTTGCAACATTCTTAATATTACTAGCTATTTTTTTCCCACATAGCATTAGCTTCTTCATGCACATACAAAATCTTAAGATCTAGAATCTTACTCTCAAAAATATTTTTTAAAATATTTTTTAAATGCCCTTATATAATCCTATAATAACAACAACAACAACAATAACATCAAGCCTTTATCCCACTACGTGGGGTCGGCTACATGAATCCTTTTTCTCCATTGTGTCCTATTAAAAGTCAAATTCTCGTTTAAATCTAATAAAGAAAGGTCATTCCTAATATTTTCTAACCAAGACTTTTTAGGTCTACCCCTACCTTTCTTAACATAAGTCAAATCTAATACCTCTACTCTCCTAACCGGGTCATCGGAAGGCCGCCGTTTTATGTGACCAAACCATCTAAGGCGACTCTTTCTAATCTTATCTTCTACTGGAGCTACTCCAACCTTTTCACGTATATGCTCATTTCGTATCATATCTCTAAGGGTAAAGCCACTCATCAACCTGAGCATCCTCATCTTCATCATATTCATATTAAAAAAAACAAAGGCATAATGAACTAAAATAAAATTAATGCACATGATTTTTATTTCCAATGAATAAAGACTTAGATTTGCATGAACAAGTTTATGGTGACATTTCAATTCCAACTTCACCGTTGTTCTTCTTGATTCTGATGCATATATTTCTTTGGTTCTGATAGGTCAACTCCAAAAATGTAATGATACGATGACTTTTTTTAATCATAACTTTTGATACAATTATTCACAAAATGTTGAGTCAATTTTGTGATCAATTATGCAATAGTTATGGGTATAACTGTTTATTCTTGATTAGAACATGTATTCCAAATACTGGAACTGATCTTTACTAGAGTTTTGAAATAATATGCTGCACTTGTGATGTCTCTTTTTTTGATAGACTATTCTTGTTTGAATTTAGTTTCAGATATCTTATTTTTTCCAAAAAAAATTATGCTTTCCCTGGTAGGTTTCTTGCAATATTTATTTATCCATTGTTTATAAGGTCCCCTTTTTAATGCCGAAAACCAATTGTCATGCACCTTACATGTGATTGAAAAATTGAAACATGTTTTATTTTTTATTTTAAATAGCCTAGGTCAGAGAAAGGCTTTCACTTGCACAAATCCAATTGAAAAACATTAGTTTTATATCACAGATGATACTACTAATGCTTATTGTTTCTGTGAGCAAAAATGTTACACACCAAGCTGCAAATCAACATGTATATTTTAAACCTCTACGTTTCATTTCCTTTAGTGTATCTACATTATAATTGCTATTCACATATTGTACGCGAAGGAGCCCATTTTTTAAGTTATTATGGGTTTGAAAATACTTTCGATTGATATACACTACAGGAAATTCGGACATTACCGTTGGTTTTTTTCTGCAGTTTTGTAAAAAACCGACGGCTTTTCGGTAAAAACCGCTTAGGAAACGATTTTCGGCGGCCTATTTCTAGCGGTTTTAATCACCAGTGGCTTTCCGGCGGCAGAGACGACCGGTAATTTCTGGCGGTCACAATGCCGGTGATCGTCGGTTAGTTATCAGTGGCGTACCGGCTGTCAAAACCGCCGGTGTTACCGGCGGCCAAACCGTCGGATCATCGCCGGTTGAACGCCGACAACTGCCGGTTAATCACCGGTGGCTTACCGGCTATCAGAACCGCAGGAATTACCGGCGGCTAAACCATCAGATTATGGCTAGATAACCGTCGGCAATCATCGGTAAACTGTCGGTAATTACCGGCGGCTTTAGTGAACTTCAGACGACTATAAGTAGCCATCAGGTATCGACGTTTCCGGTGACCAAATTGTCGGTTGGCCGCCGGAAACCTGTAGCATTTGAAAAAAAAATTGACATCCTCTTTATATTTACTGAATTTTACCATAAATTCTAAGCCTGTACAAAATATACAATAATTATCACAAATATGGGTAACACGCCACTATAATTAATAACAACTATTATAAATTCTATAATATTCATCAAAACAAATAAACTCATCAAAACAAATAAATTCATCAAAATAAATAAACAAATAAAGTCATCACTTTCACACAACAAGTTATTCAAACCAAATGTTTAAACCAAATAAGCTCTCACATAAGTTCATCATCAGTTTATCAAATAAATAAGAGTACTAATCATCATCCGTGTCCTCGTTGTCTGGTGATGCATGTGGCTGCTGTTACTCTTTCTTCTTTTGATTTTCATCTCTATAGGATCGCAGTTCTGTCTGCATCTCATTTTGAACCTTTCTCATCTCTTCTATCTCTCTCGTCAGCACTGCAACCCTCAGGCTTACACTTTCTTCAGCTCCACACTAGGATCATAAAATGCTGAGGTGGATGAACCGCCCTCATAAGCATGGCCTTACGAACCCAAGCCATATACCTTTCCCTTCTGCCTTCCTCAAACAACATCTAACCATATATGATACTCAGAATACTGGATCGATCCTGAAGATGATCTCTCACCAGTAGATTGACGACTTTCCTGAGCTCGTACAAAATCATCCTGCGAGAATAAATCAATAAAATATATTGATATTAGAATGATTTTTAATATATTAAATTTATATTTTCAAACTCTAAAATATTATACTCACATGAAATTTTTTAGCCTTTTCATCAACCCACTGATGGTCATCTTGATGTTGGTGAGTTCTCATATGCAACTCCAGTGGTGTCGGTTTCCGACCAAGAAACTCTTTCTAAAAATAGAATATATATTTAAAATTATATATATATATATATATATATATATTAAACTAAGAATTTTTCTTAAAAGATTAAATCATATTTTCCCTTGAATTGAGTTCAAATCAAAGTTAATAATTCTTGACTAGCTCGAATAGGAATCAAATCAATCCATTTAATAACCAACCTTGTATAGGCTCAAGATAAGTTCAAAAACTTCAAGTTGAGCAGTGCATTGGCGGTCATTTTTGCACACATGACCACATATCATATACACTCTATTGTACTTGTGCACAGAGCATCAAGTTGTTTAGCGGTGCCCAAAGCCATAACTTCAAATTCAATTAAATTTTACATGCCCGATCCATATTGTCACTAGTGCGATGCATGAACAACTAGCTATTTTAATGATATGAAAGGATGGAGTGAAATGAAATACAGTTGAGGAGAAATGGAGAGCATAAGCATAAAAGAACTAAAAGCTTCAATTTTTAGAAGGAAACTAAGAAAAGTTACATGCTTAGAAAATAAGAGCTACATATTCACAGAAAGTTTCTTGCATACCTTGGCCGTTCTGGTTTGTGGACTCCGAATAAAATGAGGCCACAAAACAGGAAGTACTTATTACGATAAATGATGTACATAAAAAGCAAAGCAAATAGAAGGCTAGTGAAGTCAGTATATCAGAGGATAGCACGAAGCATACATTATCAACACTAACATTAAGAACCAGTGACCAGTAAAACCACATGAAGAACACTTAAACTGTGTTTAGATGCTAGGAATTTGAGTGAAAGGAAGTGGAATTGAAAAGCTTAAATCAATGCCTGTCAATTTATAATCAACAATAAATTGTTGGGAGTTCACTTCATCTTCAACATTTTTTTTTAAACGAAGCCTTTATAAACGCAACTGATGCCCACTCACAAACAAGGTTTTCCGTATTATTTTCTCAATCTTAAGCAAACTCCAGCGTGTGTGAATTTCTTATGACTATAAGTCTATAAGTTGTAAATATCTTCATAAGCACCATGCACCACAAATGTAGCTGGTATAAATGGAGGCAAACAAAATTAAAGCTAAATAAAAGAAACATATTACAGATTTGAAGGTGGTTTACAGAATCTATGGTTGATTCCAATGCTTTTTTCTCCCGCTGAGATCCAGCAAATAATGCACCAAGCACACCTGACCCAATTATTCCAATCCCATTTAGGAATGATACAGATGAACTTCCACCAGTACCTTCTTTGGCATCTCCCTGCAGACATATTATCCTTCTCATTAACTCCGTAAAAGCAGAATGTATGTACAAGTGTTTTTTTATTATCATGGATTGGGATCATCACATTTGATTGGTTGGGCTGTTGAGATGGGATTTCTAGTTTTTTTACCTTTGGAGGTTGTGCTTCAGCATCATGTTCTGCAGCGCTAGAGACTTGAGATTCTATTTTTTCCATTGCTCTAGAATCTGAAGTATCAATTTCAGATCGTTTCAATTTTATTCCTTGAGAATCTTGTATGCCAGTACCAATATTCTCTAAAATAAAATAAAAAAAAGAACAATGTCTGATCAGATAGAATTGAGTTGAAGACAAAATGAATACATTGTAAAAGACAATGAAGCTGATCCTGGTGGAACCTAGATGGAAGAAATGCATGTGTTTTCCAAATAGCAAGACTTGCACAAATCAAAACCAATTCTAAGAAAAATCTAGAAGCATGTTCACTGAAGATTCAAAGATTGCATTGGACAATCTATTTTTTGGGAAGAACATCCGCGACTTTTATTGTGGATGTATAATCATAGAAGTGAATACTATAAATAATAAAATAGCTACATATGAGATCAAGCTCATTGAACAAAAAAAATCAAGATTTGCAAAATTCGGCTTTAACTAAATCTGCACATCCACGACTACATAGAGAGAAATATCCACTAGTCCAAATGTGTTATAATATAGAAATTGCACACCCCAAATATTTCCACTCTATCACACTTTTTTTTTCCATCTCAATTTCCTTTAATATTTCTCAAGAACTAAGACAAACTGATGAACACACACACACAAGCATAAGTGCCATCCCCATCAAGTTCGATGACACATTTGTAATGAACTCCTATCATCAATAACTTCCTTTGTACCTTTAGTTGATTCAATCTAATGATGACTGGTTCTCATCAACACTTACACTTTACCAACAACTCCTTGCTACTGATTGCAACACACAAATAACTTCCAATAGGAGCTAATGCCTCTCCTGCCTTTTACGAGTAAATAGAGGCAATGGAAGTTAGAATTATGCAAAATATATTCGAATCAATTTTGGCAATAGAATAATACGAAATACCTAGAAAATAAATCACAATGTTCTGGACACCTGAGTAGTAGAGATTTAGGGAAATTAAAGTTCCAAATATTAACTAACAACTATCCCTAGGAGATTAATTTCTGATATACAACATAGTACTATGTATCTCTTTGTCCGGAACCCCAAAGTAATTATCAAAGCTCCGAAGTGCTAAGCACTATGAAATTTAAAAAGCTCTATATTACACCTCATCCAAACAACCATGAGAAATAATGCACTATTTCATACTATGATAGGTCTATCAAAATAGAATGTGCACGTGCCACTAAATTGTTGTGGCTACGAAGCGGCTATTTTGTTTACTCTAAATATCGCACAAGCACAACCTGACGCCAAGGTGGACTGTGCAAAACAAACATAATCCGTTCAATCATATCTAGAAGTCTCATTTTAAACTTGCCTCTTTTTTGTTTCAAAATATTTCTTGCAGTATGAAGCTACCGCTTTTCTTCCCCAAAATTAAATGATTCACCAAAGTTGTTGTATCCAATACACCACCACTCATTGTTTCACTCTACAAGATTAGTCCTCCAAGTGTTGAATTCGATGCACCACAAACTCTATTCCTTCGATAGAACCTCAAAGTATTGGCATTACTAAAGAATATATATCATGTAACATTAAAACCATTTAAGAATAATAGATTCTTCCTCAAATCTAGTACATGCCTAACCCCAGCAAAAAAAAACAACCATGCCAATATGTCATCAACTTTATTGTGTCGAAACATCTAGTATTGCACATAGATTTGTTTCCCATGTACATGTACCTATCAGAACTTGATTCATATATTTCAAGAAAAAATGATTAAAATGATCCCAAATTTTTGTGGATGATCAATTAGACCCAGACAATATAAAAGACTAATTTAGACCCTAGAGTCATTAAATAGGAAACAAAATAGCTCTGCAATAAAAATTGATAAAATTAAAGCTAAGGCTTTGTATGGGATTAAAAATGAGAATACTCAAGAAATATACATATTCTCAATACTTTTATAAAATCTAGTTTCTTACTTGCTTCATCTTGTACAGCATCCTACTTATGCTCACCAGGAGTAGAGTAAGATCATGCTGGTTGTGGACCGAGATAATTGTTTGCAGTAAAAAAAATTTCAATAAAATTAATATAAGAAATTAAGACTTCAATATTCTTAAATGAAAAAAAAGTCATTTGCTAAAATGGAATAAAGATAATCAAACAAAACTTTTATTACAAAAAATCATCTCGCTCCATAAATTACATAATCTTAATCCACTCTACTGTACTCAATGTTTGCTGATATACATGATGAAATAAAGTAGAAATTTTGATTTCATAAACTTTTCACAAAGAAGATTTATATACCTAAATACCCTCGTTTTTAATCATATTCATTAACTTTAACTTCAATTCCCATAACTTTTGACAGTGGAACTCATTTGTATCCTATTTAAGGAGTTCAAGAATAAAATTAATCCTTAATATACAATGAAAAAAAAAATGGCCGCCTATAAATAGTAGATGAACCATTTTGATCCTTTTCTATACATTTAAAATTCATCAAAAAAAAACATGAATAAAAAACATTGAGTTTAGAATTCACTACTCTTTTCCCCTACTACCTTTATCAGCCATCAAAAGAGCATCAATAGAATCAAGCTAATCTAGAAATACAGTGGTATTTGCAAACTTTTATGATTATCATATGCTTCTTATTCCTTTTTTATTTAAGGCTAAGCAATGCTTCTTGTTCCTTTTTCTTTAAGGCTAAGCAATATCTCTTAATGTGCCCTTAATTATGGCAATAGAGGCAAGAAATTTACTACAAGAATTACTTCTCTAAATGCAGTTAAAAGAGGAACCTTACTCATAATATCTCCTCCTAACCTGCAATAAAACTTCAGCTATTTTCATATCTCCACTGAGCTTAGCAATCACCTATTTTGGAAGAAATATAATAATAAAATCCTCTCAGCTTATTATATTCATCCAGACAACATGGAGTAACAAAAGCTCTTTGAAAGGAGGTAAAGAGCACAATAATAATAATGCTTGATCTTTATCATTAATAACCACAATAATATTTTAAATGTGATTTGATGAGCATATATTCCTGCACTTGATGTAGATACAATCTTTGCTTATAATGAAACTTATTAAAGAGACTTTAGTTATGCATGAAGATTAAAGCATAAGCTATATACCTTCGGTAGTTGTTTCCTCTGCGTCATCTGTTAAAACCTTATCCATCAAACAAAGTTGAACTACGAGAATGCATTTTCATCCATCTTTATGTTGTCATTTTTCACTTATTATCATTACAAGCATCTTCAAATGCCCCATGAATGTTTTAATAAGTCTTTTCTAGATTAAAAACCCTCACAGCATGGTCCTCCAATGCTCAAATCCTTAGCATTTCTATGTCTGCTTGATCTTTCTTGTTTCACTTTGTTTTTCATCATATTTTGTTCATTGAAACACTTCCATATAGAGTTAGTCGATCATCTATCACTGCGACTACACATCATTAAGAATATATTTGTTGTGGTTGATTTATTAAGAGCCCTTCCTTTGTTAATATGTAAAATATTTAGTTCTGTAAAATGAATCATTTGGGTCATAATACTATCTCAAAATTTGTCATTCTACCATATTTTGATTACAAATGGAAGCTTAACAATTAATCTAATGTGACTAGGCTTCATGCATTGGATGGATACAGGCTTTTTTTAGATCTCAAATGATTGAGAAACCACCTTCTGGTTTGAGGCCAAAGATTAAGGTGCAAAGAACTGGTTGCATTTTGCAACTAGGTCACGTCGATCTTGACATAAGAATTTGTAATTGCAAAATGAAGGATATTACACTAAATGAAATTTGAATTTGATTATAGCTTCATGTATATGTAGGAAAAATCTACCATTATTTGCATGTTAGGCTTTTTAAAAACTGAAGAAAAATAATAATCATCTCTGATCTTTCATGAAAATATTCTATAATTATATTGAATCAAACACACTATGTATAGATAACCCTATTATCTGAATAATATTGTTACCAAGACAGCAGTGCCATCTACATAGCTTTAAAATAGTTAGAATAAGGCTAAAATAGTCATGATGACTGCTATCCCCACAAAATTATACAAGAAACCTAGATGTTTCTTTCCATGCAAGATATTACATGTTTAATTGTGCTTTCGCATAATTAAAACTCACACAGTTGTTGATATTGGTAAAAATCTAGGGATCAATTATAAGGAAATTGTTCTCTCATTTCTGCCAACTTATTGACTTTGTTTGATATATATCTTGTTAAGTTGCATTCATATTTTTGTCCTGATTGTATACCTAACTCATGCCCTTGCATTTCAAGACAATTTCCTTGCCCTAAGTGAACTAGCTACTTACTAACCATGAAACACCTTACGAATCATGTGAGTAGCAGTAATATTAAATACTATATGCTGAGTAAGAAAACAATAAGGTTAAACCAACATGATCACAGATTGTTAATCAACTTAATTCACTTAAGCACTATTAAAAGATGGAGTGAAACAAGAGTAGAAAAGAAGTGAAATTGTTCAAATGCATTGTCCTTTCAAAAACCTTCAAAGACTGGATTGTCCAAGATATTAGCACTTCTAGGTCTTACATCCTTGCTACGATTCCTTTGAGAGAGAAAAATGTTGGCAAAGCCTCCAACATGAGATTCCACATTAACTACTGGTAAAAGAAAATGCAAAAGTTAGCACGGAGCTTCAAAGAGTGGGTAAACTATATGTATATTTATAAAGCTTTTAGATGAGAATAATACAATATTTCAAAAGTAACTAGTAGGATTGCATTATTAAAACCAACTGCAATGTCAAGGCATACGTTTATTTTGAAAAATAGCTATTTGACAGGTCAAAGATTGCATTTAATCATTTGAACTTACATGCAATGCGATAAATCAGTCCATCCAACAATGCCTTTACCAACAGAAAAAAAAAAACAGATATAATCTGGTTAAATGCGCATAGAGAAGGAATTTTCAGAAGATAAAAGTTGATAATATGACAACACTTCTCAAATCATTAAACTTAAGAACTAACTAAGATGGATCTTAAGGTTTTTAACCCCTAGTCTTGCTATGACACCATGGAGGGATAAGAAACAATTTAACAAATCAACTTCCATTATCGAATGAAACAGGAATCTTTAGGGGACTCTACAAAGTCCTTATTTCAAGCATCGATCAGCTAAATGGTTTCTATTTTTGCTAAAGAAAGTGGGAGAATTGGTTTAATCCAATATCAATAGGTGAAACAAAGATTGTAATGTCAACCAAGATCAATATTTCAACACGTGTTTTATTGCCACAATTTCAGCCCAACATGGTCCATAGAGATTCATAGATCCATAAGATATTTTTCCCTCAGCTAACTGGACCAAAATTTACATAAAAACTGAATGCTCAGCACCCAAATCAGAAGTATAGAGATTATTATTACTATGTTCCCTACATACCCTAGGACTTAGATAATGCATAGAAAATCAATGTTTCGGAAGAAAAAACAATAATCAACTCAATAAATAAAGATACTAGGGAAAAAAGTGAATTTTCCAAAGAGCAAAAAAGAACAGTAACTCCAATGTCCTTTCAACAATTAATTACAAAGAATTCTTCCATCATGATGCAATGTCAAAAAAATAAGCCAATTATTCAACAGAAAAATTAAAAGAGGAAAGAACAAATTTAATGCAACCTCAGCACGCATACATAGTAAGGAAGAATGTGCAAGTTAACAAGAGCCTTCATAATTAAATTGAACTGAAAGCTCGCAAGAAACAGAGCGAGCCAGCGAGTGAGCAAGTGAGAGAGAGAGAGAGAACCTTCCGCCGGCTCTTCTGCAGCTACCTCTCTTAACTGCAAGAAGGGAAGAACTGAGACGCCCACCAAGAGAACAAGCCTCCTTCGGATTGGACATCTCTCATCGAAGGGCCTTCCACCATTCAAAAAATAAGAAATGACAGATGTCCTTTTCTTCCTCGGAAAATTCTGATGAGAAAGATACAAGAGTGGAGAATAGTAGCTAGAGGACGACAAGGATTGACACAGGGCAGATTGCAAGAATGGTGAGCTCATTCTCTCGCACTTTCAGTATCTTCTTCGATCTCAGTTTCTATTTCTTCAACTGCTTTACAACGTTCTTTGACGGAAAAACCACTGCGTTGGTTAAGAATTACAGGAGGGCCGCACATTTTTAGCTATTTTGCGGTTTTGGATCCGAAAAGCATCGTGTGCGGCTTCGGATATGTTTTTTGGGGTAGGCTTCGGATATTTCAATTGCGCATGCCCTACTGCGGAGCTGAGAGCGAATAAGAAGCTGCCACTGGGAAGATAGGCTTTATCCTCTGCGTACAAATTGATTGCCTCCATGTCATGGTGGTGGTGTGGTGCGGCTAGGTGATCCGCATACAACTGCTCAATGATTGAAAGGCCATTATAAGCCTCCATTTTTTTTAACCTGAGTTCATCATGGGCATCAATTCGGTTCAACGGGTAGGGTTCGAGTCGAATCCGATTTGACTCGATCATAAATGGGTTGACACTAATCCAACCCAATTTTGCAATCGGATCAGGTTTCTCAACCCTGACCCAACCCGTGCGGGTTACCAGGTTGACCCGACCCAACCCGTGAAGCAAGATTTGAACAAAGATTTTGCGAACACGTGAGGACAACCAACGGGTGCGGAACTCTTTGGAAGTGTGGTAAGCGAGGAGGCCAGGCGAGGCGACCACTATTAGGGCGTGTCGAGCGACATGGCGGGCTAGACGAGGCAGGCTAAGCAGTCGGCGTGCTAGGCGAGGAGACCACTAGTCAGGCCGCTTGCTGCGTGGGCTTGCGAGCATCCGCTGCCAACTGTCGTGGGTGCGGCATGTCGCGTGGGTGGCTCAGTGGCTGGGTGTGTGTATGTGTGATGTGCGTCATGCATCACAGGAGGTGAGGCCAGCCATTAGTCTCGTGTTCTTACCAGCATCCCGTTTCGCCTCGTGACAAATTTGACAGAACGGCTAGCCGCTAGCACCCAATAGATTGAAGACCCGGACCCGTGTCAACTTCGAGTTGATTTAGGGTTGTCGGGTCAACCCGAACCCGACCCAAATTCTAAAAAGGTCTAGAAATTAGACCCAAAACCGACTCTTTTCTTTAACGGGTTGACCTGAACCCGATTTTTTCAAGTCGGATTCGGGTTGGGTTTTCAGGTCGTGTCAAATATTAACACCCCCAGGGTTCATGATCAAAAATTTCATTTAGTGTAAAAATTAGTAATAAGAAGGGAGAGCTCAAAAAAGAACTCAAAATACAGCAACAGTCCAATAAAAGAAGGATGAATTTCACCAAAAAATGATGATGTTGAAGCGAAAAAGAAGATGATACAAAATAAACTATGCTCCATAAGAAAAAAAAAATGGATAAAAGTATCAATTTATATTTGGAATAATATTAAGTGCAGCAGAGAGTTTTATACCCTTGTTGCCCTGAGGCTGTTTAAGGGCAGAAAAATGGCCGAGGAACGAGGGGAAGTGATACCCACTCTGTATTCTCTAGAGAGCCTACTAGAGTTCCAATGATGTAGAAACAAATCATTTGCATCCAAATAGCTCTTCCAAAAGGCGATTTTGTCTAATATGACATTAAGCAAAGAGGAGTATGGCATTGAATATGATTATCAAGTCACTATTTCTTTCCTGCCAGATGAAGTAGATCATAGCAGTGATAGTCAAGCAATTGTATCAAAAATAGAATCGGATTGAAGTATTTATAGTCTCAATGAACTCAATAAGCTGTAGAATGGTCGATCTTAAAAGGAATTTAGTAGCTGAATGTAACACTATCATAATATTATAAGAAAAGGAGCATTCAAAATAAAGGTTCAAGGCACTTTCATCTTCCAATGTAGCATATGTTGCACAAAGGGCACACAAGAATGTTGCTTCTAATGAGAGAATCAGAAGTTTTAAACCACTTAAAATGACCAACCTTAAGTACGGAAAATGTTACAAATATGGATCCAAGTACTGTGATTTTCATGATTGTTGCGTCCAGGAGTATTCGCGGCGATAGAGAAATATAAAATTTAATGTCTTAGCATTGTACGAAAATCTGGCATGCAATCAGATAAGAGAGTGTGTTGCATTCATAGGAGACACCAATATTTTTTGCGTGGAATACCCCTAAAAAGGGGGAAAATCACTGGGCCTCGCTCAATTTGAATGAATCCACTAGTATTGCAGTTGATTATAAATGAGGCCCTTCCTTGGGAGAAGGTCTTAGCTTGATGTACATTTTATAGAGTACATTACATGATGTGAATACAAAGAATCAATATTGACGTGTTCGTTTGGTCGGGAGGACCATAATCTGGTGACGGAGGTCAGAAAGACTGTAATCTGCGGACGACGTAAGTCAGGAGGGCCGTAGTCGGCTGGTGATGGAGGTCGGAAAGACTGTAGTCGGTGGGCAACGTAAGTCAGAAGGATTGTAGTCGGCGGGCGACGAAGGTTGGAAAGATTGTAGTCGATGGGCGATGTAAGTCAGAAGGACTGTAGTCGGCTGGCGACGGAGGTTTGAAAGACTGTTGTCTGACGACGAAGATCAGAAGCACGGCGTCAGGTAGTAGTCCAACAACAAAAATAAATCCATCTTCGGATAGATGTCCAGTGAAAGTCCGATAACTGGTAGAAGTCCGGCGTCAGGTAGAAACTTGGCAATGAGTGAAGGTCCGGCGTCCGATAGAAGTCCGACGTCTATTGGCGGCCGAGGAGAACTCCGGTATCACTTGGGCGAAGTTTCAGCGTCAGGGGGGAACTCTGGCATTACTTGGGCAGAATTTCAGAGTCCCGTGGAAGTCGGGCAGAATTCTGGCGTCCCTTGAAAGTCGGGCAGAATTTCGTTGTCCTGTGGAAGTCAGGCAGAATTCCGGCGTCATTTGGAGTTCGGGCGAAACTCCGACGGTGGTCGAGGAGGAGTCTCTTCCCTCCTATTCTTCTCTTCTCCTCTTCTTCTTGCTTCCTGCTTGTGGCCCCTCTCAAGAGAAATGAGGGGTCTATTTATAAATTTTCTGGAGTGGCATTACCCGTAAATAGATGAGAGATCAGGGGCATATGTGGAGTGGTTCGATGGATGGCCGATATTGAATCCCTTGATCATGGATCATTTATCAGGCATTTGAAGGTATTAATGACTTTGGAATTCGGAAATCTTGGGCTCGTTGGATTCGTCTCATCGAGCTGCTCGATTTGACCAGAAGCTCGTTAAGTTTGAAAACCGTTTGGTAACTCAAATTGTGGTATGAACTTTCCAACATTGCTTCAGGTCCTTGATTTGGACTCATTTGGGCTTGGATTGAGTTGAATTTGGTGTCATCGGGTTCGTATTTCTGAGACCCTCAGTTTGACTGTAAGTTCACTAAAATCGAAGTTTCGATGCTCCTAGATTTAATTTTTGAAGTATCCTGCTTGATTTTGCCTCGAGATTCGTGCCCGATCAAGATACTTTTATGATGACTTATCAATGATAATAAATATTATTATTTTCTTTAACACTACTATTATTACATTTATATTTTATTTGCTCTGCTTACTAACCTTTCAGGTCCACAATATCACTTGCAATGCAAATCAGCTTAAGATTAGATAGACCCTTGAGTCTGTCTGTAACTTCAAATTCAATGCACCTTTTTTGACCTAATCGTACAGTACGATTTAAATTATACTGGACAATAAGTTAAAAACAAAAATAGGATATCCCAATTTTAAGAGTTATTAAACTAATTATGATGGGCGATACCTATCATCTAGGATGAGATGTTCATATCGTGCAAATAGCCGCCAATCAAAATTTATGAAATACTTTAATTTTCAAATTTTGTGCTAATCGTACAGGATGATGTAGATCATCCTGGACTACTCTAGACAATCATTCCCAAATTAATCTCATGATTAGGAGAACAATTATGATAAAATATAATTTGATACGATAGTACAAGATGATTGTTGACAATCATCTTGGATGATAGAGAACATCCTTGGTACGATAAGGGACTGTCACCTATCATAACAGATAACTACCATAATTTTTCTACTAATCAATCAGGATGATATACCCCTATCATGCTAGATGATAGAGAAGTGCATGGGACGATAAAGCATCAACTGGCATTGTTATATATGAAGTTAAATTATTTTATACTAATCATCCAGGATGATATTCAAATCATCTGGGATGATCAACCTATTTCTCTTGAATTAATCGTATAGGGTAATGCTTATTGTCCTGGCTAAAGGGGCTATTTTGTACTAATAGTATAGGACGATCTATTGATCTTCCTGGATGATCAGTCATGCAAAATTAAAAATTAAGACTTCATTTGGAGGCTCTCTATTTAAGCTCTCTAATTATCTATTGAGATAATCTTTTGTTGTGGAGTTGATCCAAGAGAGAACTTTGAGAAGGAAGAGAGAGAGAGCTTGAGATAGAGAGATCCTTATAAGGGGGAGTTATGAGAGAATCACAAAGGTTTCTCCAAGCTATTATAACTTAGAATTCAATATTGAGTTTGATATAATATAATTTTCTGATGATTAACAAATATTATTGTTATAATTACTGTTTCTCCTAACATATATTTGATATATTTTCTATTTGTTATTTGTGAGTACTAATATTTTAGAAAAATTATATTTCAGACTGTTGAATATTTCAAGATAGAGTATATTAGGCTTTCATGTAATGAAGCCTGTAAATTTTTTATTTTTCTTAAGTCTGAGAGAATGTGATTGTAATTGGGTAACAGTGCACACACATACTGGAGGAGTGAGCCAAAACTTAAAATTTAAAAACTAATCATATTGTACAATTTAAAATAATACTGGAGAATTTGTCATGGTATTTCCTCCAAAACAAAGTTAAACAAATCATTCCCAAAATATGATGTATGTTTGTACCGATGACTCATAGAGTACAAAATAGGTGCATACAAGTTCGTCCCAAATGAACTCACTTATTTTTATACTTTCTTAATATGCAATGTCTGTTTGTATAGATGGATCATAGAGTATGAAATGAGGTCGTCCATTTTTGTACAAAATGAAGCATAATTTGTGTTAACTATTCGTACTATTATGATGTCAATTCATACAAACAACTAACAGAGTATTAAATGAGGTTCATACTAGATCATACCAGACAAATAAGCTCAATTTTGAATTATTTATATAGTATAATGTTAGTTTGTACAAATGACTGAT